ACAGGGTAAGGAAACTGAGGCAGGGGGAGCCGGTGCCATGTGCCCCAGGACCCAGGTGTGAGAATCCGGCAGGAGTGAGGGCAAGTTGTTCACTAATGCTGAGCTTACTGTGCAAGGGGAGTGTGAGGCTGGGCAGGCAGGAAGGGGGTGGATCATAAGGTCCCCTGAGCTTTCCAAATGTGCTCCAGGTTTGCCTGAAGGGACCCACTGAGGAATTTGTAGCTGGTGAGTGACGTGGTCAGGTTCAGGTTCAAGAGCCCACTCTGATGTAAGCAAGAGCAGTGGCTGGGGTGTCTCTTATTTTCCCCAAGCTGTAGAGTCTTCCCCGACAACCTTGGCCACCTAGGAAATGGCAGCGTCTCGTGAGGCCAGGGAGAGCAGTGTGATCCAAGGGCCCTTCCTTCTCCCGGGATTCCCAGCAAGCTCAAGGTCATGCTTCCACCTCCCCCATCTCAGGCTCAAGCTGCCTCTGGGGAGACTTTCTCCACCAGCCAAGCCGTCAACATGTGATGCCTGGACTTGTTTAAGATGTGGTAGAGAGAGGGGGAGAGTTCGCCTGTCCAGGAGCCTTGCCTGGGAGAGTCAGCCAAGGAATGTAGTGGATGGAAGCAGGGGAGGCAGCCTGCCGTGGCCTCCAGCACCCATGGGCCTCCTGTTCCAGCTCCTGGAAGCTGCTGTGTTTCAGCCATCCTGGCCCCTAGGATAAGATGGAAAAAAAAAAAAAAAAAAGAAAAGTTCTCCAGCCCTCTAAAGTACTTTTGTACCTGGCTTAAGGAAACAGTTGGGCTTGGGTGAGGGCTACAAGGAGTAGGGATCTTGAGGAGGTCTGGGTGGGGTTGGAATTGCTTGAATCGTTCATACATTTCTCTGCCTAACGTTTATTGGGCACTTACTATGGTCTCAGATATTGTTAGACGCTGGATAACAAAGACTTCAGGACACAGTTCCTGTCTTCGGGTAACTTACAGTTTAGTAGTGGGAGATGACCGTGGACACCCCATGGCCTGTCACAGCTGCAGCGGCAGACACTTGGAGGCTAAGGAAGTGTCTAAGTATGGGTATTTGCTTTATGCAGGAAGGAGTTCTTTCTGTAAGAAGATTCTGAAAAGCTTGTTGAGTTTTTGGGTGGGCCTAGAAGGATGTGAGGGTGTTCTTCAGGCAGATGGGGTGCCAGAAGCGGGTGTTGCGACAAAGAAGAAGGGAAATGTGGGTTTCGCTGTGGCTCTAGTACATGTCTGTTGGTTGGAGCCAAGTGGCAATGTCTGGCAGACAGTTTTTTTTCTCTCAAGGAATATTCTGGAAGACTTGAGACACACATCGAACAGGTCATTGAGGATGTAACAAGAACAGGCTGGGCCCAGCTAACAGGTCCATACTGGGCCTGGGCACTTTGTGACAGGGATGTCACTGGGATGAGTCATCTTCTAGGAAACAGAGTGGTTTGGGATTATGATTGATGTCTCTGCACAGCCAAGTAGATGATGACGATTGTCCCCCAGGGAGCCCTCTCTGGTTTATAGGAAAATTCCAGTCCCTGAGTTCTGATGGAGGGTGACAGCCACTGAATGAGAGAAAAAAAGTGAGTCTGGGTGAGATGGGTTCAGAAGCCATTGATTTTTGACACTTTAGTGACTGTCTGGGTTCTTCGAAGTTAGTTTTTTTTTTTTGTGTGTGTGGGGGGTTTGCTGGGGATTGAACCCAGGGCTTCATGCATGCTAGGCAAGCACTCTACCACTGAGCTCCAACCCCGCCCTGGCTGGAGTCTTTCTTTTCTTTTCTTTTTTTTTTTTTAACAGCCAAAATAATTTTTTATAGTTTTTTGAGCATCATAATTATACATGGTACTTGGGTTTACTTTGACAAAAACATACATGCAAGGGATTTTATTTCAACAAATATGAACCGAGGAGGACTTGTCATCTCAAGTGTTAAAATACACTCCAAAAGCTCTAGTATTTAAACAGTGCCGTGAGAACACAGGAATAGACAGAAGCTCAGAGAAACTGAATGCAGAGGCTAGAAATAGGCTTACGTATGTGTAGGGATTTAGTTTGTGACAAAGTAAGCATCTCCAAACAGTGGGGGAGAAAAAATTCCAACAGGGAAACAAATATCATTAAGCCTGCATCTCATATCATACTCAAGAACCAACTCCAGGTGGGTTTTTAAAAAACTTGCAAAAATAAATAGCTACTAGATAATATAGAGGAGTAAATAAAATTGTGAGATGGGAAAGGGCTCTTTCAACAAAACAAAACATGAAACCCACAAGTCATTAAAAAAAAGATATTTAGATTTCACTAACTTTAGACTGGCAAAAGACATTATTATAAGCAAAGTTAAAAGACAAATGACAGACTGGAAGTAAAGATTTGTGATATGCTTAACTGGTAAGAATAAATATCCATACTACAAAATTAATTTTAAAAATTGAATAGAAAAATGTACACAGTAAATCACAGAAAATTTATAGATGCATAATGGTAATCAATAAATATTTGAAAGAATCATTTTCACTTCATGAGAAAGTATTCTAACTGAATGCAATATTTTTGCCCTCAATATTGGCAAATATTTTTTTTATTGGTTGTTCACAACATTACAAAGCTCTTGACTTATCATATTTCATACATTAGATTGAAGTGGGTTATGAACTCCCAATTTTACACCAAATGCAGATTGCAGAATCACGTCGGTTACACATCCACAATTTTACATAATGCCCTATTAGTAATTGTTGTATTCTGCTACCTTTCCCATCCCCTACTATCCCCCCTCCCCTTCCCTCACATCTTCTCTCTCTACCCCATCTACTGTAATTCATTT